CTATTCTATGATTCTGTGGCTATTAACATACCAGGCAACTAATAAGAAAGACTATTCCCTTACCTAACCATGGGCTATGAGTTCACCAAGTCTAAAGTGTGGGTAAGGTGCTGAGTCTGCAAGAGACCAAAGGATCAGAACAGCAACTCTTCCTTCTAACTCTTAGCTGTGGAATGACAAGAAAATAGCTGGATCTGCTGCAGACAGGATGGGAAGGAAAGGGACACAGGAGAAGAATAAGCTACTGGAAGCAATGCTTATGTAATATTGAGGTATTTTAGTGCTGTCTGGAGCACAGGGTGTATTTGGGTTCAGTGGCATGCTGAGAGAATGGCTAGAGTATACTTCTCACTGTTCTTCAATGCCTGCTGATACTGCATAAACGGTATTGAACTTTGCTTTTGTGTAAGTTACAGGCTCCTGCTTTACTAATAACAGATTTCTCTGCAAATTCCTGTCTCAGGCCTAGCTACCACTTCTGTGAATAACAAATAAAGAAGTCTTACGAGCTTTTAGACCGTTCTTTTTATAGGATAAGTAAGCTGGGGTTTTTTTGCTTAAGTTTTTCTGTTTTTTTTCCTCTTCTTTAGAGTAGAATGCCACCTCCTTCAAGAAATCTGAGGTATGAATGTGAACTTCATCCATCCAGAGATATTATATATATTGCTTGTGGGCAGACTCAAATGAGAATGAGGCAGCTGCTCACAGATGACGCCTCTAACTTGTGCTTGTTAGGTAGTGAGGGTTTGGCTTTCCAGCCCTTAAGCTAACTGATAGGCGGTGATCTCTTATATGGATGACTTGTGGGGACTCAAGAGAGGGGAATCTTCTCTAAAGTAAGTTGTTTAAACTTTTTAGACAAACTTAGATATCCTTTTTTCCTGCTGTAAAATGGGGTTTCAATGAAGCTGATCAGGCATTCAGTAACAGAGATAGCAGCCTGAGACTTTAAAAACCTAACTTTGCAGCATGTATTGTCAGATACCAGCCTGAACAGTTAGTGTTTAGTTCTAGATTCAATTCACTTTGAAGAACTTCTGTGGAAAAAACAACCATTTATTCTGTAATTGCCTGTTACATTTGGATGACTGTTTTTACTCTTCAGTGCAGTGCTACTTCTGTGACTTAACACTTCTAGGCAAAGGTGTCTAAAAATAAGTCCTGGAAACTGTTGTTTCAGTGGTGTAAATATGTTAAGACTTAATTACTTGTTTTATCACAATTTATGTATATAAATTAACTTGTCTTAACTACTTTAAAGGCTCTTCTGATCTGTTTTTATTCATATTCCAAACTTTGGATTTGGTTCAGGACTGAGCCTTCTCTTAGCTTTAGTGTATAGCTTTGGTTTTCCTGTGCTATCTACAAAACATTGCTTTCTTCTTGAGTTGCAGATGCCCAAAATAATAGCCCATTAATAACTTAACGCTTGCACTAACCCAGGAGATTAAAAATTTGTTCAGGGCAGCCTTAAACTTGTGTCAGCCTGAAGGGAAATGCAACCCTGAAACTGAACTGATACAGCTTCAGACCTGTGACACATCACATGAGATTACTCATCTTTCTGCCCTTCATTCTATATATTGATGTCTTGAAGGACCAATGTGGCTTTTCCCCCACTGATGATGGGAGGCTTACTTTTGCATAATCATCTCACTATTAGCATCTTTTTGTATTCAAGGAAGGAACTTAAACTGGCTTTATCACTAGAGCAAGCTGCAAAACCGGCAAAACAATGAATCATGTTAAGAGTTGCGGTTTGCTTTGTGGAAACTTAGATTTAGAAGATTTAGAACTCTGAATTTTATTTCTTAACTATTTCTCTTAAGTACTTGCTGTTAGCTGATGGTAGCTGTTTGAAGAGCAGGTGGAAGCTTCTGCTTAATGGTGGAATCTAATTTCTTTTAAGCTTAGGCTTGTAAAACTATGTAGGCCTATTTTCATAGCAATTTTTCGTTGTTACATGTATTTTTACATATTGAATGTCTTTGTCTCTGGCTGGAAATGTTTTGAGTTCCACAGAGTGACCTTGGTTAGATTGCAGCCTGCATTCTAGCTGTGAAATTGGGTAGTGTTTATGCTTTCTCCTGAGTTCTGGAGTTATGCTACTAGCAGCCAAACCGGAGTGAGCTCTTCATGGTCAACATGGTCCCAATACTATTAAGCCTCCATAAGTGATCTGGATGATGGGGTAGAGTATGTAGTTATATAATTTGAGAATTATATTAGACTGGGAGAAGTAGATAAAACAAGTGAGGAGCCACAGTAGAGACATTGACAGGTGGGAAAACTGGGCCAACAAAATGGCATCAGGTTTAGCAGATGTTAAGTCTTTCTCTTGGAATGGGTTAAGTCCAAGCAACAGTTCATGCTGGGAGATGACTGCTGAAAAGGATCTGGAAGGCCTAGTGGACAGCAAGCTGAGCACGAGCCAGCAATGTGCCCTGTAGCAGAAAGGCAAACAGTGTCCTGTACTTGCCATCATCAAGAACATAGCCAGTAGATCAAGGGGTGTGATTATTTCTCTGTGCTTGGCACTTCCAAAGCCACACCTGGGAATAGTGTGTCTGGTTTTGGTCCCACAGCTTAAGAAACTGGAAAGGCTCCAGTGGAGGCTTGTGAAAGTGATTAAAGAGTTGAAGAACACAAAGCATGAAGAAAGGCTGAAGGAATTCTTTCTTCAGCCTAGAGAAGAAGGTTGGAGAAGACTGCTTTTTAGCTCCTGTAGATAGCAAAGCAGCTTCATGCTCTCAAAGGAGGGTATGCTAAAGGAAGGACTGAGTCATATTTATGGACAGAGTTGTAAAGTCCAGCGTAAGTTAAATTCTTTTCCTTTCATAACATACTTAATGTTGTAGATGGGCCTTTCTGTATAGCTGTGTTCAAACCAGAACTTCTAGAATGTCTTGGACAGCAGGAGAATTCATTGCTATCACTAGCCTGTGGTGGGCTGGTTTTCCCTTGTGTAGCTTTCATAGCAAAAAGCTCTAACATAGCGACTGAAATCGCCAGTTACCTTTTGTAGCTAAAGAAATGGAGTTTAACTTTATTTGGAACAGTCTGTAAATGGTGCTGTAAATCCTTTTTTACCTGTATTTTTGGGTGACAAATGAGACTGTCAGCTGTGAAATCCTGAAATGCTGAGCAGATAGCTAATGGTCTACCTTTTATTCTTTGGGAGTCTATAGGTAAAATCAATTCTAGTACTTCCTACCTTTATTCTTTGGAGTCTATAGGTAAAATCAATTCTAGTACTTTATAGCTACACAAAAAAAAGTCACGTAGTGCAAGTTGTCAAAAATCTAGCTGAATGTGTTCTTTGCTAATACACACTTCAAGAAATATTTGAAGGAATCTACTTTTCTCCTACCCTTACTTAAATGCTTTAAAGTGATTTAACAGGTACCACTGTTTCCTTGGGTTTGAATCCTGTGGAGAAACACATACACTGGCTGCTTGTTGAACTTAACTGACACGGTTCCAACAATTTACTGTTAATTGTCACTGAACATAAGAAGCCTAACTCCACAGCAAGTGAACAGGGCTGTCAGACTGCTGAACTTGTTTCATGCTTTTGTAACCTCATACTTGGAGGAAATCATGGAATGTTGTTGCTTGCAGAGTGTAACTGCAGCTTGTGGACTCAGTGTCAGATATTTATATTGAAATGGTTATTAATTTGAATAGTTAGTGTGGTTTTGAGCTACAATAATGCTAATTAAGACCCCTTTGTTAAAGGGGCTTAGAAATGGCTGTTGATGACAGGGTATATGGCATGTTAAAAAAAATATTTTGGTGTCTTGTTTCTAGTAGAATGCATGAGATGTTAGGTCTAAGTAGGTTCTTCAGCAGGTCAAATCAAGTCTTGTGTACAGAAAGCTCATGTGATCTGACAGCATGTATGGTGACATTTATAACACACTAGCGTTTGTGTTAAATCTATTCTCAGTATGAAATGTAAAGCCATGCTTGAAGGAGGGAGTGGCATTCTTGTGAAAACGTAGAAAACTGCTTATTTTTGAAGTTAGTGAATGTTCAGATATCAAGCTGCCTAGGAAAACTGTATGTGTTAATTGTGATTAAGAGAAAGAAAGTAAAAGCCTCGCTGAGCTTTGCGCCAAGAATAATGTATCACCAACAGCTTCCCACCCCCAGTAAAACAAATAAAAAGCCTATGGCTAATGTCTCTGAACTACTTGAAGAAACTTCTGACCTTGGCCTAGGTCTGCAAGACTTGTAGGGTAGCAGGGAGGAAATAGTGGCATTTTTCTTGTTCACCTCACCTCTAATACCTGTTTCTTCTAATATTAGTGGAAAGCTTATGGACTTTGCATTGGAAAACTCTGGGCATGGTGTTGATGTGGAAGCTGTCAAACATTTTGAATGGTATAAGATTTATAGTTGGAAATAAATGCCAATGAAATTTATGAATGTGAATGTGCATCTAGCAGTCTTGGAATGTAACTGAGTTTAAGTGTTTAAGTGTTCACCTAGCTTCTGCTGTGTCTTTTTGCTTTAGGTTTTTTTAGTAAACCAGGTATTTTCTACATAATTTCATTTTAAAATAGGTTGAAGACTAATAGCTACAAAGAACTTGTGTATATGTTGTTCTAAAATTGAGTTCAATATCTAGAAATCACTGTATTATATGATGTTATGATTGTGACCTGAAATGGGAAAGTTAAGGTTTTGGGAAGACAAAACCCAAGGTCTAGCTTGATAAATCCTCAGTGGACTATACTTATATGAAGTCTTAGCACATGCTGTTGTCTCAGTGATTGTGAGACACATGAGTATTGTTGGAGCGATATGGGACACTGGAATCTGCATAGCATGTTAAGTTTTGCTTAAAGGAAAATAATTGATTGCTTTGGAGTCTGTAGAAGGAGGGTAGGAATAAAAAGCAGGTAGTGATACCTTATAGCTATAACATGCAGCAGCCTATCAGATGAAAATGTATGGCAGAAAATTTGAGTATGTATGTTTCCTTTTTATTTCAGGCTTATGGTATGTCAGCTTTGCCTCTAAACTTGATTAAGGGAACTACCAGTGCAGCTTATGAACGTTTAGAGAACACTGAAGATATTGAGGAAGTGGAACAACATTTATTAAGGATTAAGTCAAAGGTATGGTTTTTCACTGTTCTCACTTCCTTAATGAATTTTGTTTTATCCCTTGCTTATTATTTTATGGTCATACTGTAGAGTTTTTGTTCCAGAAAGAACAGTAAGTCAAAAGTGACTGGCTTGTAGTTATTTGGAAACAAATGTGGTCGCTTGGGTTGTAGCGATCAGGTTTTCTTTATCAGTCTTGCAGCAGTAGTTATTTCTGTCTAGCTAATAATGGTGCTGACAAGCTAAACTCAAAATTCTTCAGTCCTGCTTGGATATATGGAAGAGGTGGTTTGTAGAAGCTAAGAATATTAACCTCACTTAGTCTGCTACCAGATATGGCATCCAATTTGTTGATATTTGTGCAGTGTAGTTATTGACACTGGATATTTGCCACATGAAGCTGTTGTGAGTTAGATTCATCAAACTGTTAGTCATCTTTATGAATAAATAACAGCCCCAGACATTCTTGCTTCCCAGTTAATGTACTTTGCTGTTACAAATCATTTCTTTATGAAAAGCGTAGATATGGAAATCTCTGTTCTGAATCCTAAACATCCCTAGGATATTAACACCATTTATAAACCCATGATGGCTCTGCAGCTTACTGAAATACTGTGCCTGATGTAAGCAGGACACTTTTAACAACTTAAGAGGGCAATCTGAAGGAGGATAAGATTCCTTTACGTACAAGATGCTAGGGATAATCTTCCACCTTTTTCGCAACCCATTTCAGATAATGGTTTGACCAGTGTTTTCACAGTCCTTAGTGGGGGGGAAGGGGCATTAAGATGCCTTACTTTGGTTCTGACAGTCCATCTGTGCTGTTGTGTGCTATGATAGTACATCTCAGCAGTGTTGGAACAGTTCCAACAGTCTTCCCTTGATACTTTGCTACTTCTACACAGTGTGGGCACGTTCATATTCTAGAAATCTTGCGTAATGAAACCTAAGTAGTTGTCCCCCAGTTTAAATTGTAATGTTTTGGTTTTGTACGGAGTACTACTACAACAAAGGCATCTGTATTACTGGAATCAATATAAGAAAAACATCAAAGTGACAAAACCTTGAAAAAATGGAGCATTACTTGTTACAGTAGACTATTGGATTATGAGAGTTTGCAAGCAACTGCTCTTGTTCAATCTAGCCAACAAATAGGATCAAAAAGTAGAAAGTCTTTAAGTTATATCTCTCTATCAATGTGTCTGATTTTCCTTGGTTTATGGATTATGGTCAGGATTCTGCCTTAGTTTGTAATTTAAGTAGTAGTTCTTCAGTTACATTTGCATGAAGTCATGAAGAAAGTGAGTGTTACTGGGGTAATGTACAGTGAAAACTAGAAGTATAAAAGTATGCTATTTAATCTAATGAAAAGATTCAGTAGGTGGTATGGTCTTCTGCTATTAGTATATCTGGTAGCTTTATTTCATTAGTTTTAAATAATTGAAGCTTGGACATGCAGCCTGGAATATTGGACTGTTTTTGAAAAGTCTTTTTTAAGTTACTGAGGTGCTATACGGGGTGTGGAGAATATGTATTTCAGTTAAAAGTGCATTATGATGTTACGTGTGCCTAGAATGTGGTCTTTGTCTTGTAACCTTTGAGAAATTTATCTAAAAGATTTGCTTTAACTTCACTGGGTGTGAAGTGCTCATTATCTACAGGAAGGCCCTTTTGAAATAGGAGGGGAAAATTGCATAGGGAGTTTCAAAATCTAAAAATATATAGTAGGAGATACAACTGTAAGAATCTTTTTTTATCTAAGGCTCAGTTTGTTATGCAGTAGCATCAACATTAGAAACAATTTTGATTTAGTTACCTAATGCCTACTTTGTTGTTTTTCCTTATTAGTGTGTAACTGATTTAAGGATGTGCTACTCAATTGCACAGAGTGCAATGGTGCCTGCTCAGTGCTTAGAGGATCAGAATTAAAGAACATGCTTAAACATAGTCATCAAACAAACAATGATCTGGTACACTTAACTAATTCTTGGAGTAATGGAGCCTCTTGTCTGGATTTCTGTAAGCCATCTTGCTCTTGCACGTACAAGAAAAATAACTGAGTATCTGTAGTGGAACGCTGGAAACAAAATACAGATGCCAAGCTTAATACATTGGCATAGTCATGGAAGGGACCTTTGAAAGTCATCACTCTACACAAAGCAAGGATGCCTTTCAGGTTAGATCAGGTTATTCAGATTACATCAGGGCGTTTTAAGTGTTTCTAGCCATAGAGACTGCCCACCCTGAGGAAATTTTTTAATATACTCATGAAGAGTGTTTTCTACCACCTAATAAGAATTCCCGTTGCAGCTTGTGATTCTTGCAATTCATCCTCTTGCTATGTATAGAAACAGTGTGAATTATATACTACAAAGTCTTTAGAGTTGTTGTAACTCATTAAACTAGATGTCAAGTTTATTTTCTTGATTCAGTGTCCCTTGATCTCTTGCACTGTTTTTTGGTAACAGTGCAGAGATGGTCGGCCTCTATCATCAAGGGATAGACGGACTGTGCAACAACTAGAAGAGAGACTAAGGACACTTCGGAGGAGAGAGAGGCATCTGGAGTCTATTGAGAAAAGCTGGTGGACGAAGTTCTGTGAAGCTATCAGGCCTCTAAAGGTAAAACTTTTTTTGCTTTTTGACACTTAACTTGCAGCTTCCTTCTGATGTAAATCATAGGTCAAATTTATCGGTTGCCATCGTGAATATCAACTGCTTATTTTTGTGATTACTATTGTTACTACACAATGACAGCCCTATAGCAACCTCTGTTTGGGCTCTTGAAAACCTTTTACTTTGCCTAAAACATGATTAAGATTGAAAAGGACCAAGTTGTATCCAATCTACTGTAGTGCCACTGCCATAGGAAGTCTGAATATCTTTTCTTAGTCATCTGAAAATGGGAAGAAGACAAGGAAGAATTCTATAGCTGTCAGGTTGCTTTGGTTAATGTGAATTATATGTGGCTAGCAGAAGTGAAAGGTACTTTGAGCATCTTGCCAAGTAATTACTTGATCAATAGTAAGCTAGCTGCATACAACTTACGTCTCGATACTTAACCAGTGTGAAAGAGTGAAATAAGATCAAAGCTTTGCCCCAGTAACAAAACCCAGTACTTCTATAGAACATTATTGCCATATAGTATTTTTGTCAACTAGATGTAGGAAGAAATTCTAGCTTTGCTTTAAAGTGCAGGCTGCACTTTGAAAACCAGAGGGGCAACTATAAGCCATTTCCTCTAATGTCATTGCCAGTGTTAATGCTGAGTACCATTGGAAGTGGGCTGAGGTTGCAGTTGAACAGAAGCTTTGTGTGAGATTTTTAGTGGAGCTATCTTTCTGATATGTTATCAATCTAGACTTAGCCCTTTCATTTAAAGGACAAATAGCCCTAAGTATTCACTTTAACAGTTTGGTTGCTTTCTTTGATTAAAAATAGCTTGTGTAATTTCTTTAACTCTTCACATTAATCTTAAATTTGAGAAATGCACTGAACATATCTATTGCCTATAGGACTTGAACAGTTCATTGTATTCTCATAGGATAGCATACAATATCATTAGTTACTGACAGATTATCACTTACATTCAGGATGATATTCCAGTGTCTGTTGCTTCTTGTGGTTTGAATGCTTTTTAGTCTCATAGTGACATAGACAGTCACTATGAATTGTTGACTTAAGAATTGCAGGCTAAAGGGGAATTACAGGTGGATAATATTTTCCTGACAGATTTTCAATTAGAATAGGGTTGTACTGTGAAGCATCATACAAAACTTGTTTACTTTGACTTTCCCTTGAGCCATACTTTGAAGGTGATAACGTCTGTCACTTGATAACATCGTAACTCTTGCAAGACTGATTTTTCTCCTATTTTAATAGCATCTGAACAGTCTTTGGACATATATAACTTGTCAGTTGTTGAATTAGTGGTTTTCATGAAAAGGAAGTATCTCAATATCCATATGTAGTAATTCTGATCAATGTAGAAGTGCAGGAAATATCTTGGAGCTTTGTATGTTGCTTTACAACACTTCTATCTTTAGTGCAACTTGTATATGCTCATTCAAGAATGTGGCTGTTTCTCAGACTTCAAGAGAAATTCCATTTGTGAGGCAAGTACTAGGTATGGAGAACACTATTTCTGCTTTGTGTTTGGGATGGTCAGGTTTATGGGAGTTTCAAACTCTTCCTGGGATTGATGGAACAGAATGTATTCAGGAATAGCACTTAGTCTTGGAGGTATTTTACAGTATTAACTTAGGCAATATGATTATAGAAGTCTGAATGTAGACACTTTAGGAGGACACTATGCATGTTCTTGTTTTAATTACTTTGTTACTGCTAAATACCTATTAGCATGTGATTGTTAAAGCCAAAACTTTTTTCTGTAAAGAATAAGCTTTCTTTGACATGGACTAAAGTAAATTTTGAAAACAATTATTTCACTTAAAGCTAAATCAAACTTACATGAAGCTGTTAATTTTTCAATTAGTCAGAAAAAACACATCTGGAAGATCCCAAGGAAATGAGTAATGGTCAGCGTGAGGTTGTCAATATCAAAATAGTCTTAATTTCTTTCTACAAAATATATTTTTTTGTGTAGATAGCAAATCTACTGCTCCTTTCTTTATTAAGGTTTCTCACTCCTTCATTTGATACTCTCAGCAACAAGAGAAATGTGGTATACTCTAGGGATAGGTTTAAAAATTGTTTATGGGGGAAAGAAACCAGCTCCAGAGCACGTAGTTATTTTTGCTCAATATATGAACAAGACTATAGATTGTAGAACATGGAAGTCTACTTAACAATGGTAAGTTGGGAGTATTGCATCAGTTTTTCATGGGGTACTTCAAAATAGTTGTTTTGAAGATGCCAAAGGTGAGTAATACAAGAAAATGAAGTACTCTGTTTTGAAGATTGAGACCTGTGTGAACAGAGCACACTCAGGTGGCTTAGCTTAAGCAGGAACTTAAAGGCATTGACATCAGTCCAAGGATATGCAGGCTACTTGACAGAGTGGTACACTTGAACTCCAGCAAGGGGGAGAGAAACTGTTCTATCTATTCTTAAGGATAGGGAGGACTTTATATAGACGTGTCAGCATCTTTACCTGCTGCTGAAGGCCTTCAGAGAAGCATAGGTACAGTTAATGCTGTCTGGAGGGTGGAGGGTTAGGGTAAATCTTCTTTTCTTAATGTTTTTTTTTTTAAACCCTACCACTACCCTGCTCCCAACTTCTCTGGAGAGAGCTGAAAGAGGAGAAACTGTAGGCAATTGCTTGCATAACAGCCATGCTGGCAGAGTGTTAGTGCAGACTAGATGCTGTCAGGAGTTAGTTGCCTCACAGGTGGTGTGGCTAAACTGACATGCCTTTTTTCCTGCAGTTGCACCTGCATCTTTTACATCAGGGAGGCTGGCAACATGACAAGCAAGAGATGTGAATATTTAATGCCCTTAGTTTACTTAGTGATAACTTAATACTAAGTGGTTTGCTTCATCTAACAATCATTTTTAACCCATGTTTGCCAGGTTACTTGAAAATTCCTGGAAAATAGTTTATGTCATGCAATAGTGTGGTGGGTTGACTTGGCTGCCAAATGCCCACCCGGCTGCTCTCTCACTCCCCATCAACAGGATGGAGAAGGAAATAAGATGGAAAAAACGTGGGGGTCAGGATAGACATGACAATTGCTTAAAAGTTATCATCCTGGGCAAAACAGAGTTGAAGAAAATTGCCAGTTAAAAATGATCTGAATGGTAAAAACAAAGACCATTTAAAACACCTTCCTGTCCCCCCCTGCTCTTTCCCAGGCTGAACTTTGCTCCTTTAGTCCTGACTGAAGTGGCACAGTGGGGATAGGCAATAGGTAGAAAGGACAGCCTTACAGCACGCCTGCTGCTAAAACCTTGCCATATAAACACAATACGAATAGTGACTCCCCATGAGGAATCCAGCTTTGATTCTTGGTCAGTATAACTGTTCAATAATGTGCCACCAGTTTTCTTTACTCTGTTAATGGATACTAGCCCTGAGAGAATGACTGCTGCTTTAAATTTTTGTGATGCTTCAGTATTGGTTCAAAATCATGGAATAGCTGTCCTAAGCAGATTCACAGTTTCTTTTTTTGTTGCTACATGAATACCACTGTAGGAAACAATTGGGCAGGTGAGTATTCCTTTAGCTTTTTGGAGGGGCAGATATTAACAATTTTTACAAGTTAATTTTGCAGCTTTTTAAAGTAGTACCATGTAAGTTTGTGCATCAT